TGCACTGCCCTCCTTCTATTGAAATGTATCTACCTATGAATCTTACGTTGATACCACTTGTAGTTTTTGTGTTGTGCTGTGGAAAAAATTATGACAGACAAACAAGGCAGTTACATGAAGGGAGAGCATAAAAAAGAAAATCCGAATCTTAAAACTACTGATGGAGTCCCATCTTCTCTAACATGTTCAGTGTTAGCAGGATTTAACATTCATTCCAAACACACACCTTGTAAATTGTGTATTTAAAAAATATGTGAAGCAGGGATCTTTGAATAAACATAAAGTCAGCTTCTGTTGACTTTATATGTTTACAATCTAGCTTTAGACTACCTACATCTGTTTATATGGATTACAACACTGATAAATTGTATTATAAACAAAGTGCAGTTTTAGTTCACCTGCAGGCAAACTATTTTTAAATCCAAATAGAAGGTAAAACAGATGGTGTTATAAAACACAGCTTGCAGGCAACGTAGGGAATTTGTAAGCTAAGGTTGAAACTAACAGGTAAAAACTCCTTCAAGTTTCAATAAATCAATTATTTCTATTTGTCACGTTATCTGATAAACAAATCGACCATTAAAAGCAAAGTGCCTACAAAATCAGTTTGGATGAAATATTTGGTCACTCTACCTTCAGAGATAGGGTAAAGGGCTTTGTGCGACTAATCAGAGACGTTTCAAACATGGATCTAGACTTAGGCAGGCTTACCAGACAATGTGTCCCCTGCTTGACACATTATTGGCAAATTCTTGTCCCCAATATCTTTGAAATACAGGCCAAAGATTTCGGGCTATCCAACAAATGAAATAAGACAAAATTCACTTTATTTTTAGTTGAATAAGGTAAAAATATCATCCATTATATGAAAGTTACAGATTATTTTACACAAAAATAGTACCATGATAACGCCAAAAAGATCAGTCATGTCTCATTCATAACTCTGACTGCAGAAATGGAAATAGACCTTTGACTGTGATATCAATTTTATTTGGGCTAAATATTCTAGTCTTTGTATGAGACATAAATATTCCAAAACTGAACACACCCATCAAGTGAAATCTAAGGTAAAATCTTTTGGACTGAAAACTTGTTCATAACAAAACTATTAATATCTGTTCTCTCTGTAATGCCCTTAAGAGACATTAGTCTGGCCCATCATCTAAGGAACAGAGGGTCCACTGTGGGTTTCTAGGGGGTTGTACCTAGACGAGACAGGATGGAAATCTGACATACAAGAAAACTGTTACAATTTGTATATATCTATACATGCAACTGTTAAATTTCTCATCTAAAATTGGAACTTACATCATGACAGGTATTATGACCCTCGCATGTAATTACAATGGTGATGGACACCAGCAAGTAAAGAGTAGTCACGCCATGTGTGAAACGGAAGTTATTTACACAGAATGAAAAAGTTGCTGTTTGCTGAAATCGGAATCTCCTCGATATTAAAATGATGTTTGAAATGCTTTCTTAGTTTATAGGGGTTTTTAAAGAACAAATTAAAAAAAAAACTGAATTTTGTTTTTTTAACTTCAAATAATGACTCATGAAGACGCAGTCAGTTAAATATTTGGACAAACAATTCCATTAAGTTTTATAAATGGGTGACATCCTCAGCAACACTTGTAACTGTCATTTTGAGAAATGTTGAAATGTTGGTATGGAGGTCTGAATTGATATTTTTAAATGGGACATTACCAAGGTCCAATTTCATGACAAATTAGAAGAGAAGGAAGAGGTGAGCATTGAACAGTGTAAACAACACTTTTAGTGAAAAGAGACTGGTCTACAAGACCTGATACCAAATATACTAAACGACATAAAGTCCAGAGGCCAACACATGAGAATGTGACACAGTGTAGACAGGGGCATAGTAGTTACTATTTCTACTGAAACTGCAATAGATATGGGTAGGATTATCAACAGACATGTGATTATTATTGGATGAAAATAGTATAACAACCAGAGCTAATCTGAGAAACACACTGTTTAGTGTCACCTTACTAAAATGTCATAACAGACTTTATGAGGACTTGGAAGAAACAGAGCACTAAAGGACACCTAGTCATCTAACTTTTCTCACTTACTAGACTGCATGTAAAGTACCAAAGTTATTTTTCAGGAGTCAGATTATCTTTTACACAGCTATGAATTTGAATAAGATGCAAAATTGTATTTTTGCATAAATTTGAGAGACTTGAAAAATTATTTCATAATTTTTTTTAAAAGAGTTTCAAATTCCTTTATTACTGCACTGAAAATTCTGTAATGTGATCTACATTTACTGCCTCCCATCTTTTGACAGGGAGAAGATCACAAGAAACTTGTTCTCAAGGTGTGACTAGGTGCCTTTTCTTTCTTCACCTCTAACAGCCAACAGCATCACCAAAACCTGTTTTGATAGCAATAATGACTTCATACAAATACCTGTGGGTCAAACAAACAAACAAACAAACAAATAAACAAATAAATAAATAAATAAATGTCCTTGTTCAGCAGTCAGCATATTTTCCCATGATGGCCAATAATTGTGCCTCGTTTTAGACAACAACAAAACAAACTAAATCTAAAATCACAATAATGCATCCATTCTAGGTAAACGGTAAATTTTAAGTCTGTTACCAAAGAACGTCAATATTGATTTTAAATATTAAGATCTGTCATTCATGTGACTAATGACCATGACTTTTTCCACAATGTCCCATTCACAATGTAAAAATCAAAGTTCCACAAAGTGGCTGACTGAGTGAGCACTTGCTATATAAAAGGTCCACACACCTTCATCCATAATCCTATTAGGGACACTGCTTGAGTTTACACACCAACATCACCGTTTCTGTTTGAAATACAGATTTCATTTTACAGTCAAGCTAACATTATTTGTAGAAAGACGTATCTAAGTTTGTGGGTAGAGAATACATGTCTCCCCAGGGCCAGGATCATCTGTCCTCCCCTGTAATGATAGGGTGCACTGGGCATTATACAACAGGGATTGTGTGTGTTCACATTAATGTGTCAGTGATGTTGGACAGACATAGTATGGTCTTTGTGTCGATTCCTCAGACTTGTTGTGTAATGGCGTAATGTACACTGAATCAACACTCAACCATCAAAATGTAGGACTCACTGGAGACCTATGATTTAGCAGTGAGACAAGTCACAAATATTCTGTACATACTCTAGAACTGTACACTCTGTAAGTGTATATGAACGAAATGTATCAGTAGGTCTTAGCACACAATACAGTTATAGTTTAAATATTAAATCTATCATTTATCTGTTTTTGTTTTCCAAATGGTAAACATGTCTTGCTCTACACTGGACAGACTGAATGAAGTTGCCAGTAAATTTTCTGATGAAAAGGACAAATAAAATACAAAGTTCACTGTATGAAAAATCAGAGTAAAAAATAAATATAAAATGCTTTAATATTCCAGAACACTGAACCTACCTGACAATTACTTACAAAGAATTTTTCTTTTAAATCATATACAAATTAGTCGAACACAGATTCTATCATAAGATATAGACCAATAACAGCCATAAAAGGATATACCTCAATTGGGACACCGAAGGATAATACATACAAAGTAGGACAACAACATACAATGAACAGATCTATCCACATAATGCTGACACACTTACCTAATGCTATGTTATGTAATGACACAATCTTATCAGAAATTTATCAGAGAATGATAAGATCTACTAAAAAAGAAAAGATTTTAAAATTGAGATAACATTTCTTTCTTCTCATAACATACACACCTGGATAAAAATGATAGTTGGCTGGAATCCAAGGCTTCAGAAAAAAAGAAACTGTTATTACTTTAATTTTATTCCAGTTAACAATGTGGTCTGGTAGAAAGGTAGCTCTGTATTCATTTAGCAACAATCCTCCTGGTTCTCTTTTTGACATAACAGAGCTTCTTAAAATTCCTTTCTACAGCATTCATATGGGTTGAATCTTAAAATATCTTTTTTCAACTTTCAATAATTAAAGTGCTGATTTAACACAAAACAAGTTTTCAATGCTCCTGTAGTTGCTTTGTGTATTATTAGTTCAGTCGTTAAATTTAACAGCCTTGTGCAACTCCTTCCTGTATGGAACTCTGCCTGAAGTTATTTTTGTCTGTGTGGTTACAAACCAACAGAGTAAAATTAGATAACCATGTAATTTCTGGCAGTTCTATACACTGATACCTCCCATTAAACCTTACATGCTTAACCACACATGAAAATGTTATTTTCTATTGTTGCCAAGATATTTCTATCTTTCCAGAAATGTAAGCAGCATGTATCATGTTCATAATTATAGAGAGTCAACAAATTTCTTATATCAGCTTTCTATCTAAAATGTTTGATGAACTCAATCTGACAATGTCTAACTACAGGCCTTTTTTCCCATTGATTTACACAGGATGACAAGAGTTACCTCCCTTCATTATGCTCCAGAAAATGATGAATACTGACAGTTATTATCTGTTTCTAAACAACATATTAAGAGTGGTTCTGTATCTGAAATGTGAAATTGCACGAAAATTGATTGCAGTTGAGGATACAGGTAAAAATACCTAATTCTCTAATTAATCCATGGGCACGTAACTATATGGGATTCCCCGATGTAATCCAACAGCACAGGACTTAGTGGGATTCCCCACAGTAATCCAACAGCACAGGACTTAGTGGGATTCCCCACAGTAATCCAACAGCACAGGACTTAGTGGGATTCCCCACAGTAATCCAACAGCACAGGACTTAGTGGGATTCCCCACAGTAATCCAACAGCACAGGACTTAGTGGGATTCCCCACAGTAATCCAACAGCACAGGACTTAGTGGGATTCTCCACAGTAATCCTAGGGTACAAGACTAAGTGGGACCATGGTTATGAACAGCTGAAGGTATAACAAGATTAAATATGAGGCACAATTTTGAAGGCAACATGAAGCTTCAGATCTGACTCCTGAAAAAAACATTTTAAAGACTTACCATAGTCATGTGCTGTTGCAAGCATATTTCCTGACATCTTCACCTCATCAAACTTAGTAAATATCTGGTTTAATCTATGGAATAAAATATATTATTGTAGCATCATATTCAGAATAAGCCAAGGACTCTACATTCTTATACTTTTATTAACACAGATCATTCATAATATCATAATACACGTAATGAATATTTCATAATTTAGGATACAAAATAATAAATGTAGCATAGACAGCAAGATGTATCAATATCCACAATGTAACATATAAACTCGACAGATCACTCATAAAATACGATTAATAAGAAAATTAGCCTTTTACAACCCATAACCCTTATTGTTTTCCCAGTACACCTTTTTCTCCCCAACCACTTTACAAATGAAGGGAAATAACTCTTCCTTATTTCTATACCTTTGCTGAGAGATTCCTTTCTTGAGTAAATCTGAGCGCACTTTCTCCCCAACATGTCTGTAGATTTCTGCTAGTGTGTTGATAGATGTCTCGCGAACCTGTTGTCAATGACATTACAACAAAATGAAACACCATTTTCTATGACTATCAAGAATTAGAACACATCACTGAAATATATTGTACAACAAATGTATCAATTAAATCATCAATATTTTTTTTATAAATATTCATATATCATTAACTTCCTGTATAAGTCGTTGATATATACAGCAAGTTGATATGTTTAAGAATCATCTCCACTCTCACATTGTTCACAGTACAGCGTGTGATAATTGGTCAGTATTGGTAAGTATACCATACATTACAATTGTATCAGTCACTGTATATACAGATTTTTGACCAGTAAACAGCCCTCAGTTTGTCCTTACCTGGCTATTTTGATCATCCAGCAGTTTACAGATGTTTGGTACTATCTTGGACAGGTGTAGACACCTTGCTCCATACCTAAAATAAACAAAGTACTGTAAAACAATCCATCCAATTCTGTGTCCACAATATATAGATTCAAACTACCAATGCTTTTTTTTGTATGAAGTTTCATGAGCAGTACATTTTGCCTTTTTTCATGACATTGAAATGTACCCTGAGTGTTTCGCTACAGGTAGCTACAAAATAATTCAAATTATACAACAAAAGGTCAAGAAGGGGCGAACCTGTTTTCCAATCATTATGATTTATCAGAAATGCATACCTTTGACCTTTCAGCAGTCACCGTGTAAATCATTCTTTTGTTCATAATTTGCCCTCGTTTTATGAAATTTAAGTTTGGATTACGATTATGTTGCCATGTTGGTATTTTCTTGATGTTTTTTGACTCAGTGGTTACTGAGTCTTAAGTAAACAAGACAAGTGACTTTTGCAAAATGGACAAAATCACTGAAAGAGCAGCGATTCAATATTTTCATAAGAAAGGTCTAGCACCTAAGGATATCCATACTGATAGGCTAGCAACAAAGGTGGGTGGAGGAATTTAAGCAGTGGCACGCAGAGCCTTGGGGATGACGCCCATTCTGTAAGGCTTGTCACTGTTGCAACCCCAGAAATAGTAGTAAAGTCCAATATATTGTTATGGCTGACAGATGGGTTACAGAGAGATATATAGCCGGCACAGTCGGGATTTCACAGAAAAGAGTACATTCTTTTCTCAAGGAAGATCTTGCAATGAGAAAGCTCTCAGCGTAACAAGACTTCTGACAGTTGATGAGAAGCACACCAGACAGACTTTGTCACATGCTAATCTGAACCTTTTAAAGATCCTGTAGAGGTTTGTGATTATGGATGAAACTTGGGTCCATCATGTCACCCCTGAGGCCAAACAACAGTCTTAACAATGGCAGCATCTTGGTAAGCCAAGCCAAAGGCAAAGACTATTCTATCAGCTGGAAAGGTCATTGCCTCAGTTATCTGGAAGAATGATGGTATTTTGATGGTAGATTATCTGCAAAAGGGAAACTCAGTAAAGGTGTGATGTTCCACCAGCACAATGTGTTCACAAATCTGTTCATTGCAATGGCTGCCATTAACAATTGTGACTCTGAAATGATTGAACATCCACCTTATTTACCTGATCTTGCTCCATCAGACATTCATCTATTTCAAATATTGCAAAAGGCCATTTATGGTGTCAGATGATGACATCATACATGCAGTGGAGGACTTTCTGAATGGTCATGAAAAGGACTTCATTAAAAGTGGCATTGAGACCCTTAACAACTGCTGGCAAAGTGTATAGATACTGAAGAGGATTATGTTGAAAATAATGCAATATGTCTGCCAAAAGTCAAACCCTTAAATTTGAGGCTCACAACTTATCAATCAGCCCTTGTAACTTGTGCATCATCCCTTGTTCTAAGGATGACAATAAATATACTGGACACAAAAAGTTAAGGATCATAAATATATGTGACATAAAATGAAGCTTGACACTCAATGACCAATGTTTTAGTTGTGGTTTTACTGAAAGTCTGTGTAACTTAACAGCAAATCAATCAACAAATTGTGTGTGTCTTCTGAATGTCCTGTCATTTTGTTAGCAAGAGACATCACAAGACAGCTGCAGAGGCTGACCGACATAATCCAAGGTTGCAGAGACATGGGAGGAGTACCTTCAAGCAGAAACTATCAAGCATATGGACTGGCCTAGACTTACACCCTTGTTCAACCCAATGTGTGGGACATGTTAAAGCAATGCATCACTGGTCGTTTGTGGCTTCCTGTCAACTGACAGGTGCTTGGTGAATGCCTACAAATTCCATAAATGGCTATACAGCGCTCCTGATTCGCTGCATGTCAAGCTGATGTTGTGCCATTATTGGGGACAATGGAGGCCACACTCACTATTGATAGTATTGCTGAACCCACAGAAGCATTTTAAATTTTAAGCATCATTGGGACTTTAACATTTTTGAAAGAGAGTTATGAACTTACATGACATGCTCAAATGAAATTGATTCAAGTGGGTCAAAATTGTTTTCTTATTTTTATTTCATATTCCAAAGTTTTTGTTTTCTGATACAAATAAATTTATCTTTAACTTTTTGTGCCAAGTATATGTTTAAATCGATCACTGTTTCAAATCAATCAAATTTCACATTTTACCACCTACATAATGTTAATGTCAGAATAATCTAATTCCTGAAAACTATAAAACATTTATTTACAACCTAACGTTGCATAGCATGGCTGTTCTCAATCTGACCTATTTCCTTCATAGCATCTGCTACCAGTGACTTAACTTGTGACATCACAGCCCATAGCATACCAATCAGCACCAGTCACCCTTAAGCTGATTAGTAGTAGGACAGGTGAAAATTGTACATTTCAAATGTCAATATCTTGGAATTGGGCTGGCCTAATTTGATGCTATTTTCAACCTTTTTGATTTTTTATCAAATATGATAATACAATATTCATTTCTATTTTCACTCAGGGTACACTTTAATATTGTTCTTTACCATTTTTTTCTTTTTTTTTACAAGATCAAAGGGACATAACTCTAACAATACAAAATGGGGAAAAATTACTTGGGAATACACTAGCATTGATAGGAAAGTTCAATCAAATATATCATGAGTTATCATAGTAAACTTTGATTTGCTATTAACGAGAGCTTAGACAGCCTGTGTGTACTACATGTTGGTGTGTTGTTTATTGACTAGGTTTTCTGCTGTAGTTTTTCTACTTCCTGCTAGACTACACATCAGAAATAACAAAAATTCAGGGATATCAATCCTATCATTTTGACTGGTTAATATTTATATTTATCCTGGGATATTACCAGTACTTCCCAAGATGTAAGGAATTTGACAGAAACAAAAATCAAAAGTCTTAATTAAACAATCACCATAAAGTAGTAATATATACACATGTAGAATTCTCTAAAATATTGCTGGTGTATTCATTGAATCCTTTTTTTCCAACTTGTACATTGTTTGTTACAAATGAATTTGATTGTTTCAAGCCCAACATGTCTATTGTACATTATTTTCAGCATTAAGAAGGATCACCAATGAAAAGTTGAGCCGATCATTTCAAACAATACTAGTAAATAAAATTCTTCAATCTTAAACAATTTCCAAAGATTTTTGTATTCATTTAACATGGAGAATACTCCCTAATTATTACTAGCCCCTGGTACAGGCAATGCCATTGTAAGGAATAGGGAATTCAGAGGTTCCAATCCAACCAACAATTCATTGACTGAATTCATCAATCAGTATCATTTTGTGTCAAAATTTTTACCAAATTGGTGACCCTGACCTGTCTCAGTTTCAATGAGCAGCCAATCAGAGAAAAGTTAGCCTAAAGCAGCTATTCAACGCTATATAATTTAATTTGGTTAACAGAAAACTGTGGTAGCCAGTATGTGTGACTTGCATGTTACTCACGTGTTTAGAGTGTTCTGTAGACAGATGAGGACTCCTTCTCTGACATGCCATAGCTTGTGTGTAAATGCACTCATCATCCTCTCAAACACATACTACAACACATCATCAGAGAAAACATACAACATAAAGTCACAACAATGGAAGTGATACCAACACCAATCAGAATACTAAATCATCCTCACAGCAATCATAGGAAATGTTTTACTTCCCAAAATCCATACAAGGCATTTGTAAAAAATATTAATCTTTACTACACAATGTCACAGAAACATGTTGTCAATAATGAACACATAATTAAATTTTTGCCATTATGACTGAAAATGCTTAAAAAATAAGCTTAGTTTAGTTAAAACTTGGAATAAGAACGTACCCCAGGGGATGTGGCAGGCATCATTAGCTTCATCAGTAATTGCTGGGCTTGATCTCGAACCTTTACAAGGAAATAAAATCCATTCAATTAATCAACGCATAAGAAAATGTTTGCAGAAGTCTAAATTTCTTTGGAGAGAGAAAATCTGATGTTTCATGTATTAGAAAACATTAATATCCTTTTCTTTTACATCTGTCTTCTCATTCTTACCACGGAGAAATAAATGGATGGAAACATCAAATAAAATAAAGACAAGAGTGAGAATGGATTGGATGACAGTACCCCTACTAGATTCTCAAGTTCTTCTCACTAACTTAGGGCAAAGATATGCTTCAGACACTAAAGTAGGGACAGAAAGATGGACAGATGGACATGAGAAATTTGAAATAAATAAAATTAGGATAAACAGGATATTTTTTTCATTTTAGCCAATAGTTTATTGTGAAAGAGTCGAGCCTCCTCAATTGGACTTCATGGTTATACAGTTGAAACTTGTCTCGAAATCACTTGAGTCAAAATTCCATTTCAGTCTAATTAATTTTCAAGACCTGATTTTTTCCCTTCTTTTCTTCTTTGTAATTTTAGTTTGCATGACTCGCATTTTGCAAAGCCATTTTTCAGTCCATTCAATTGTAAAGCAGGGTAAAAGTCTATCATTGTCTTGAAATTATTTTTTGTCAAAACATTGGCATATCTTCTGATGCAATCGGTCAATACATACACAAAGTATAATGTCACCTGTGCAGTACACATGGCTAATAACGATGTATAAGCTTGTTTACTACAGGACTGTGATTGTGAACTTTGGTAGACTCAAAGTTTGTACAATGAAAAGCTGAAAGAATTTTTCATTAACAGAGTCTATATCTGTGTCTGATTTGTTACGTCTAGCACTTGTACAATGTTTTCTTCAACAGGTAAAAACTTTGTAGCGCTGCATTTTTCATATGTTTATTTATTTGTAATAAAGTCCTATTGATATGATCTGTAGCTTTATACATTGTTTCTTGTAGTGTATCAAAAGCAAATTTTAATTTTGCTTTATCATCATTTCATGAAATATATTATGTGTATGTGCTTAATCAGTAAGGTATTGTGCACGTGTGCAGGACGGAACGATGTGAGTACAAATGCATTTGATTGGAGTTGTAATTAAATATTTTGTTTTTTGGATCAATAACTTTAAAGAGAAAGTATTTATTTATTTCTTGCCATTTCAAATAACAGATTAAACTATGCTGCTTGTGTGCTATTGTAGCCCTACTTCGTTCAACCATAATCAACTTCAGGAAACTTATATCGTCAACTTTAGTTATACACTTTATTTGAGTCAGAATTCAGATAAATATTTCCCAGTCCCTTGAATTTCAATATAACGAGTTTCAACTCTATTTCCTTATTTTTTTTCATGTGTTTGATTTCAGGCAAGGGTTGTAGTACTTAAAATCAGACTATTCACAAAAAATAGCACTTTGTGAGATAAATTTATAAAAATGATCAGCTAACACTGGTTTACACTCGCTGTTGTGTCTACTGCCATTCACTGTTTTTATCAGAGAAAGGCAAGTTCATCACGAGACCTTTAGGTAACTTGCTGCTTCATTCTTTCCAAATTTTCCAACATCGCACATTTTTTTGATCATTTATCAAATAAAAATCTAACCATTTAGTCTCTTTAATAATAACTTCAGGTTATTTCTTTTGACAATTCAGAAGAATTGGGTAAATATATGGCATATCCTTTATTGAGATAACCAACACTGAGCATGAAATTTGGAAATGAAAATTTTGCCTTTCAAAAACCAAGACTCATTATTTCATACATTTTATATTTTCCGACAGATCAGTGATCATCAAGATTGGTGTACTGAAACTTTGACAACCAATTATCAAATAAACATTTCTGGTTTGACTTATCGGCAGAAAATATCATCTAATTTATGACACCACATGAAGTGTCATCCACAGCAGACCAAATGCTGAAATGTCCAAAATAAACCACACAAACTATCTGGTTCTGTAGTAGATTGTCATATATACCTGATCTTTGGAGTCTCCCAGGCGGTCTATTACAGACGGCAGCACTGAAACGATCAAACGACAGGATTCAATCAACTTTTCTATTAATTTCAGAAAATACCATCTACAATGGCTACCACTGAAGATGAAAATTTGCCAGGAGCACAAGTATTAGCAGTCATTAACTTCAACTGTCACCAAAGCTACATGTCTGGAACAACCAAAAGGTCAGTACCTGGATATGTATATATGTAGTTGCTATGTGATCAAGCAAACATCAATTACAGACAATCATTTAAGTGTCTCAATAGAAAAGGTTTACAAAGTACCAAGAAAAAGAGCCATGCATAAAGACATTATACATATAACCAAAATTTGATTTTTTCATTTGACAAAACCTGTATGACAAAAATACAAGTACAATAAGATCAGTGTCTTTTGCTTTTTGTGTTGGAAGAAAAAATTGATGGGCTTATTACCAGGCATCAACTTATTGCTAGATAAAATCTGGTAAAACTTACCCTGAGACACATAATGTTTGAAGTCCTCTCCCATCCGGTCGACCATGAGACACAATACCTCCAGCCCATTGACGGACACCTGGAAAACACCAACATTAAAAAAATTAAGTTATAATGGGTGTTTTTTGTGGCTGTAATAACTGGTGTACATTGTTTATGCACCTTTTCTAACAGTATATTTATCATCAAGTCGTTTATGGTGGAGCAAAAATACCTAAGTTAAAAGCCATTGCAATGTAACTAGGTAAGAGGTCTAATTCGCATGTGAAGGTCTCTCAATTCAAAGTGTCTTAATTAAAAGTGTGTTGCATCTTTATACAAGAAGTGTTTATTGTTAAAAATTTGATTCAATAATTGCTTTTTATCTATCAGAACACTGACCTGTTCAAAATATTGGCAACATTCAACAACACAATAATGCCTTCAGACAAGCAATCGTGATTTAGTGAAAAGTTGAGAAATTCCCAATATCATGCCAACTGCCTAAAGAATCATGACAGCAAATTTTGTCTGTAATCGTCTGCAACTGATATATCATTTATATAAATATGCACAATGTCATGCTCTTTGGCTGGGAATTGAGTTGAGTTTCAAAAATAGATCAAGTTTATCAGATATTAACTGTGTTTGGATGCTGTGTGTAACTGGTTGGTGTATGAGGATATACACTAGATTTAACTAACACCTAGTGTCACTACAATACAGAATAAGGCGTCAAGACATATCTGTGTTGTGCATATCTCTGTGTGGTAAAAGTATATTTTGATCTTGAAAAAGGTTCATAATATATATGTAAATACTACAAATACAGACATGTCCTTCTTATTATGACAACAATATAATAAGGTGACTGGATTTTCTGCTGGGAACAAAGGTGACTGGATTATCTAGTTGGAATGAAGGTGACTGATTATCTAGTTGGAATGAAGGTGACTGGATTATCTACTGGGAATAAAGATGACTGATTATCTAGTTGGAAAGAGGGTGACTGGATTATCTAGTTGGAATGAAGGTGACTGGATTATCTACTAGGAATAAAAGGTGACTGGATTATCTGCTGGGAATAAAGATGACTGGATTATCTACTGGGAATAAAAGTGACTGGATTATCTACTGGGAATAAAAGGTGACTGGATTATCTGCTGGGAATAAAGATGACTGGATTATCTACTGGAAATAAAAGTGACTGGATTACCTACTGGGAATAAAAGTGACTGGATTATCTACTGGGAATAAAGATGACTGGATTATCTATTTGAAATAAAAAGGTGACTGGATTATCTACTGGGAATAAAGATAACTAGCTATAGATAATCGATCTTGAACAAAAGTGTTTATAGAAAACAAAGGTGACTAGATTATCTTCTGAGATGTAGGTGGTTGGATTATCTACTAGGAATAAAAAGGTGACTAGATTATCTACTGGAATTGAAGGTGACTGGATTATCTATTGAGAACAAAGGTGACTGGGTTATCTATTGTAAATAAAAAGGTGCCTGGATTGTCTGCTGGGAATAAAAAAGACTGGATTATCTACTGGGAATAAAGATAACTAGCTATAGATAACCATTCTTGAACAAAAGTGTTTATAGAAAACAATTGTGACTAGATTATCTACTGAGATGTAGGTGACTGGATTATCTACTAGGAATAAAAAGGTGACTGGATTATCTACTGGAATTGAAGGTGACTGGATTATCTGCTAGGAATAAAAAGGTGACTGGATTATCTACTTGGATTGAAGGTGACTGGATTATCTATTGAGAATAAAGGTGACTGGATTATCTAGTGAGAATAAAGGTGACTGGATTATCTACTGGAAAGTAGGTGACTTGATTGTCTACTGGGAATGAAGTATTATCTGCAGAGAATGAAGATGGCTAGATAAACATTTGAAGCTAGATGCCTTCTTAAAAGACAAAGTGACTAGGAAAATCTGAACATTTACTTTATCATTAATATTGGACTTCTGTAAGAGAGAATGACAAAATCCTAAGGATTCAAACTTGTCCTGAACTAAACTTCATCAATATGTAATATACAACAACATAAATTTCAACCAAACACATTTCTGTTTGTCAACATCAACTAAAGGATGAGTAGTGATTATTAACAAGCTATCACAGGTAAATACATCACCTGTTGATGTGAGAAATGATGTAAATTTACATATGTAAAGACTGGAGACAGATAGTGTAAAGGTTAGCCTGGAGTCCAAGCCAGATAAGTCACACCATGGGTTAATCAAGTCAAGCTCACAGCCATAAACGACAAATTAAATCAATCAAGTACCAGGAAAACAACTCTCTATGACAGAGTATAGGTCACAGTACTAGGCAACTTCACTTTTATCTCCTTAATGCATGAGGAGTTTCAAAATGAAAATTTTGTTTAGAATTTATTGACCTAGAGGTGATTTCATACTCACTTACTTCTTACCCTACTGATATACATGAGAAGAATGATGGTTTGTTTAGGAAAAGAACATTTGCTGAGTTAACACAACAATATTGAGATCTGGGAAAAACATAACAAGAGGCCCACAGGCCTTAACTGACTGAAGACCTATATATAAAAGAAGCCAATAGTAAATTACTCTACAGCTTACAAAGAAGACACTGTTGGTTCATAAGAACATTTTAATATAGGTCAAGGTCAGTTATTTGAACAAATCGGTAGCCCTTCATCCACTTATATCAAAGAATCAATATCAGCCTGGACCTTGTTGACCCCTGTGATCTTGAAAGTAGATCAAGGTCAATAATGTGAACAAACTTGGTAGTCATTCATCCCAGCAGGCTACAAGCCCTTTGGGTCAGATGACCTAAAAATCCATTCATTTCTACAAACTGTGCATTCTGAACCTATTCCAATGAACAACTTGTAAAGAGGTCAACATAATTGTTTATAATTGTTTGTTTGCAGTGTGTGATTTAAAGTAAAACATTGGTGTTTTATAATCTTAACAGAGGTGAGGACGGCAATTACAGATGTGTTGAGTTGTAAAAGATCATACTGTGATACTGGTGATAAAAACTACATAAATCTACTGCAATATCAGCCTACAAAATCTGTTAAAGGTCAACACCATGATTTATCAACCTGACACCTACGTCTCTTATGTAATTATCAACCCACATCTCTTGCCCCAGGTACTGTGGTATCAAAATCTGACAGCAGATATACATATAGTTATGTAAGACATGGTTTCCCAGCTATTTTTCAATACAAGATCCTATATAATCATGTTAGTCAATACCTGTAATACTTCAAAGTACCTCTCAGTATGTTTATCTTGACAGCGATCAAATGTTCTGGAAAACCTCCTGCCTGCATTTTTACTTAAATGTTTTCAAATAGAGAAATTGGATAGATTTGGTAATTTGTACCACAACTTTATGTGTGAATGTAATGTAGATATAAAACGTTCTGAGTATAAATTATTTTTCATTTGGGTCCGATAGGTTATAATAATTAATGATATTTGTTGGGTGATAGACAGGTATCATTGTTCAGACAAACTATTATTCTCTATACTCAGTCTCGATAATCATTACCAATACTTCTATTCTGAACTTTACTTACCTGTTAATACTACATATTGATGGTTTTTTGTACTGTATAAGTGTGTCCCGTGTGTTGGCTTATTATAACTGACTGATTTTACAATCCTGTAATTGATTCTAGCTGCTCTATAACTACCATATCAAGTATATGTGAGAGGTAGGCAGTGTAGAATGTGTTACACTCTGATAGAGCCACAGCTACAGTATACAAAACAAAATATAACTGTGTTAAAGAATCAGATACATAGATCTGTTGTTTTCACAAATTGACAATTCTTGGAAAAATGCATTTGTCAGTTGTAGGTCAAAGTAGACATTTCATAGCTAAAGAAGATGCTGTGTTTGTCAATGTTTATACTGCACATTTTGAAATAATAGTTGGGAGGGGTGAGATCTCCAATAAAAGTCATGTTAGTTTTCAAAACATAACATATTCACAAAAATGCTCAACAAGTATACATGTGTAAGTGCCAAAATTTTCAGACTAAATTATACAACAAACACAAGGGGTAAAAAGGTTGTATTTTCTATCACTGTGAAGTGTATATAGACTGATGTACAGCTGTGTATAACAAAAACCCCATCCCATTCACTCTTTTACGTACATACACAAGTTAGTGTTTGTGTGGTGTTATAGATGTGTGTGGAGGTGGGTATGAGGTGGTGGTGGTGTTAGCGAACTTCTGGTCCGGGTTATCACAGAGTCTGTGTCATTATTCATTCAAGGAGAAATATTTCTACACGATTACCCTATCTCCCTTCCACTGGGAAAACAGCCAATATCACTATACACTAAGCTGTGTGTCCCAATCAGGGATTGGATATATTTATCATTATGTTGTTATCTGCTCCTGACAACTTAATACACTATCTATACCACAACTACACAGCTGATGTCGACACCTGAACACAAATATCATGGAATGTGATGAAGATATCTGATGAAAAACATACCTTGATATATCTATATTCCTGGTCTATACAATGAATCAGAATATTGCTGTATTTTTTTAAATTTCTACGTTTTACATTACAATGCTAATATACCCAACCACTTCAACAAATATTCATATATTGCTATACTTGTAATTATCAATTTTTAATATACACATATATTCTGATTTAGAATCTGACTTTAAATATCAGCTGGTAAAATATTAATGCAAATCAATATGGACAAAGAAAAACTGCTGTCAAATGACAATAAATAAATATTTAATATCAACAAGAGGCCTACACAAATACAATGACTCCTGACCTATTGTCCTGTGCCCTTGAAAGTGGGTCAAGGTAAATAATGTGATGAAACTTGGTAACCCTTCATGCCACAATGCTGCAGTATCAGCACGCTTGGCCTTATGGTTATTGAGAAGTCATTGAAAGATTTTGCCATATTTAACACTATGTGACCTCAAAAGTATATCAAGGTCAATAATAATGTGAACAAACTTGGTAGCCATTCATCCCAGCATGCTACAAGCAAAATATCAGGACACTGGGCGGTTTTGTTATT